AGAAGAAGAAGAAGAAGAAGAAGAAGAAGAAGAAGAAGAAGAAGAAGGAGGAGGAAAAGGAGGAGGAGGAGGAGGAGGAGAAGAAGAAGAAGAAGAAGGATAAGAAGAAGAAGAGGAGGAGGAGGAGGAGGAGGAAGGAGAAGAAGAGGAAGAGGAAGAGGAAGAAGAAGAAGAGGAGAAGAAGAAGAGGAAGAAGAAGAGGAGGAGGAGGAAGAGGAAGAATAGAGAGAGAAGTCTCTGGAATTTGAACTGCAAACTGTGAGAGGTCAATGTGCTGTAACTTCATGTTGAAAAGGCATCAAATGGAAGACAATTCTTACCCAGGGAAGAACACACAACTGGTTACCCAATTCCAAACAGCCATGAAAAGGTCTGTGCAAGTGACACCGTGGAGACTGAGCAGGCTGTGTTTATGTATTTAGGAACGCATATGTGTATATAAACACATATGTATGAAACAACAATCAATGAAAAATAGAGGGGATGAATCTGAAAGACAGCAAGGAGAGATATATGGGAGAGTTTGAAGGGAGGAAATAAAGGGGAAATGATCTAATTATCATCTCAAAAAATAAAAGAAATAATTTCTTCAAAGGGAGACAATTGTCTGAGTAATTACAAACAAATTCCCTGTTATTAAGGGGGAAACATCATTACCTTAATCACTCAGATTATTTCTTCAGACGGATCATATTAACAGAACAATTATTTAACTTTTCAATTTGTGATGATTGCATGGAGAGCCTCTGGGACCTTTCCTCAAGAACATTTCTCTCGAAGGGGAAATGAACGCCCCCAGAGCCTTGCACTGACAAATCGCATTACAGTAATTTTATTCTTTCTAATTAAAAATTGCTGCCTTGCTAACGAATGGTGAAAATTTTACAAATGGCAAAAAAAAGGCTAGCTCCAGAAGAGGAGAAAAAGGGAGGAAGTCTAGGATGATCAAACAGCTCAACGGGCCGTAGACACTCTCCTTCTTACTGTCCCGCTGTGCAGGAAACAGTGGTGTGCCCTTCTCCTGAGCTAGCTCCACTCGGCTCTCTCTTATCCATGCATTCTTCCTCAATTACCTCAGCAGGTCTCCTGGTTCTACATAATCTCCCCGCCTAATATTACACTCCCTCAGGTTTAGCTCCGTATTCCAGGCATTTACTGTCCACACACTTGTACCTAAGCCCAAAGCCTCCTCTGTTCTGCACGTCAGCAAGCCCTGCCTGTCATCACGGATGTGGAGGAAATCTCCGGCTCCCTTTTAGAGCCCAGCCATCAGTCTCCTTCTCACTGTTCTCCCCTCCTCAGGCCTTTACTGGTCCTGAGGAGGGCAGGTCGCTGTCTTTTTAAAATGAATTGGAGTCAGCTTAAAATCTCCTATGGCTTTCTATCACACTTAAAATCAACAGTTTCTGACATGCGCACTGGCCTTTCTGCCCACTAGGCCCTGGCTCACCTCGTTTCTTTGCTTGTCTTCCATCCGCCCCTTTTATCCCTCTGTTCTCCCTATGCAGTGACACAGAGCCTTTGCACTGCTGTGTCTGGATACCCTGCACGGGTCTTCTGTGGCTCGGCCTCTCATTTCATTCTGCTTCTATCGTTTCTTTATAGATATATTTCATCAGCTTCCAGAATAAATGCACAACGGTGTCATCCCTTTTTTTCACTTTATTTTTATTTATAATGTTTATTATTGTCTGACTGTGTGACTTTTGTCTTCGCTTTTTCTATTATCTATTGTTCTCACTAGACTAGCGAGTTCTGTAAGGACAGACAGGGTCTCATGAGAACCATGGCATACATGTGTGTTCAATGAATAAGAGAGATGTGCCATCCACGAGGACGAAAAGACCGTCTTAACAGTCTTAGAAATTCATAAGGCAGTTGCACAGAGGATCATCATCAAACAGTATAAAAATGTGTTGGAAGCATGCACCAGAACAATGATGTGGAGGAAGAAAGATGAGTTGTGTCCTGAAGGACACATGAGGCATTTGGCAGCAGGAAGGAAGAAGAGGCCGTGAAGACGGAGGAGAACGTAGGATAAAGTAAAACAAGCAGGCTGCTCTCTGGAAGTCATGGAGACATATTGCTGGAGTCGCAAATGAAAGGAATACATGAGCAAGCCATGGTTCTAAAGATGAAATTGAAACCCGCTTAGAGGAAAGGCGAGCTATGCCACCCTAAAGGAAGATGGCTGTGTGGTCAGCAGTGTTCATCTGTCTGCCATGACGTAGTCATTATCATAGTGCTCAGTGAACAAACTTTAATCCTTTTGATTGGCTGAGGGATTTAATCCCCTTTTTAACATTTTCTCATTTGAGTATATTTCTGGGTTGCAACAATGATCTCCATGTATTTAAATGTAGAGTGAAATTTGATCTCTGGGTGATAATTTAATGCAATATGAGCTTCTGGGTCCATTTTACTTGATTCTATGAGTCCTGAAGGTGTATAAGATCATTGCCTCTTTTGTGGCTTGTCCTATATGCCGTGTGTTGTTTCTTCTAGAAAACTTTTCAAACAAAATCTGCAAGGAGGAGCGAAATTATGTTTGTACCAAACTCGGCTTCTTGAAGGGACCAAACTGGACAATTATCAGCAAATGCTGCTGTTTCGAAGCTACAAGCACCAGGCCATACATCTGCCGACACATGGTATAGGTGCCAGGGTCATTTCCTTTTCTAAAAGAAACCAGTGCTGGTTCCCAGAAATAAAAATAGCGAATTTGTATGTACTTGTATCTATAATTGACATATTGTACAAACAATAAGATCCCAGGGCTATACATCAATCATCTGCTATTTTTGAGAGATGGAGTGACACCAGAAGCCGGGAAGACCGGCGAGCTTGAAGCTACTCACCCTGCTCCTTTCGTATTCTTTCCTTGAGGCAGCGAAGAGCTGAGCATTAGCTATGGCAATTCCGCAGAAGGGCAGGTACATCTGCATAGCCTGGGGCACAGAGACATTAGGAACGTTAGTGCCTTCACCTAACTCAAGCCCACAGCTCCTGCCTGTGCGGTTCTTCCCTTTCAGTCAAATGACCCGGGCGCTGAGTTGTTACCGCGCCCAGCTTCAGGGCCACGCTTCTCAGCATTAGCTCTGAGATGGTGGAAATCAGCCTTTAACAGGGAAATTCACATCTATGAAATCACAGAGCAAGTGGAGCAAAGATTCCGAGAGCTACTATATGGAAACTATGGCTGATAAGTCTTGTATTCCAACTCTGAAAAATGAAAAATAAAGAAGAGAACTGCAATGTCGCTAGAATTTAAAGCATGTATTCACGTTCATACTTAGAATGTATGGCAGGACATGAGCGAATCCCTGTGTACATACATTGTCTATAAAGGCCATCCGAGCAGGGCCTGCCAGCTGCCAGACTTAAGCATGCTTATAAGGGTAGGCCTTGTGTGAACTGAGGGTCTCAAGCCCTAGGGGATCTGCTTGGATCCACTACCTGGTAGGTATGATTAGGCAAGAACGCAACCTGGCATGGCTCTGTAGCAACTTGTTTGAGGAAAGGCTCGGGGCCCACGAGAGAGAAAAAATATGTCTCCTGTTGGAAGAAGTGCACAGCTGTGCTGGGCCTGACCCTGAGAAAGTCTTTCTAAACAGGAGGCCAAAGTTGGAGGATTACTCCTACCTCTAGAAATTATATGATTCCAGGCTGATGAGGTGTTCCAGTAACTAGTTCCCTGAACTTTTCACAGCATGAGAGGAATAAGTGACATTTATCTGGGGCTTCTCTAAAGCAGAGTTAGCACGTCATGATTTGTATCAGTGTTTTTCTGTCCCACACCCCATCAAGAGGCGAAAAGGCACACAGAGCAGTTCTGGCCAGGCCAGTGGTGCGTAGCCCGCACAGGCACACATGTGAGACACCTCTGGGACACCCAAAGGTGACGGTGAGGTTGCCTGGAATAAAGGCTGACTTCGGGGGGGATAAAAGATGAAGCACAGTTCGATGCCCTATCATTTGTTACCTAACTTTGTCCACCTAGCCACACTCTGGACTAGGGTCCCTAAAGGAGTGTCAGAGCCCTGTAGAATGATTAAAGCTATGACCCCGTTCTCACAGAAGAGAGAGGGAGAAAAAAAAAACAGGAGGGAAACCAAGAACCACAACACTCAGTGAGCTTGATCTGAAGCAGATCTTCCAGGATAGATCCCATCAGGAAGTCTTTGAGTTTCCTCCTATAATGGATGCTATCTCTGTTTCCCTCTTTCCCCACTCTGGCTCCTCCTCCTCATGCTTTAATAACACTCCCTGTAAACCAGTAGGTACTGGGTCACACAAAACTGCCAGGTATCCTCAGAACTTGCCTGCCTTTGGCCAGAATAGGACCGCTTTCAACGTCCACTATACACTGAGCAGGTTTCCATGTAGCTTCCTGTTGGGGGCTGGGGTGTCCTGTTTGGTTTGTACTTTCTTTTTCTCTGCCATAGAGATGGTGGCCATTATGTGGATAAAGGAGAGAAGGGGCTGAGACACTGCCGTGTGTCTACTGCGACAGAAAGAGGTGAACACATTTGTGTCTTTCATGATGTCAGAACTGACTGAGTAACAATAAATCCACAAGGTAAGTGTTTCCGATGACTGTGCCTGCCAGATGATCCAGCTTCCCTTGATAACCCTGAAGAGGGCGAGCACAGGTTCTTTTATTCCAATGTAATTACTAATATTAACTTTCGTACCATATATTACACATTACATTGTGTGTGCATGTGTGTGCATGTGCGTGCATGTGTGTGTGTGTAAAAAGACAAGAGTTTTGAGGAATTTCAAAGAGGCCAAAACTGGAAAACTGATAGTGATCTAAGAATCTTTGTATTGATAAAAAATTAAAGTGAGCTATAGAAGAAGCCAGAAGCTGCCGTAGCTGTGGGTGGGAGAGCCAGAATCAGAAGTTGGGCTGTAGGAGAGATGTGAAGGGAAGGGCAGGACCAGGTCAGGTAGACTGACGCAGAGTGGGTGAAGGTAACATGGGTTGGGCAGCAGTGGTTTGAGGAGGCCTCGTTAGCAGGGGACTGAGCTGGGCTGACGCTCCTGAAACAGCTGGGACTTCTCCTTCCATCCCTTGACGTGCACACTGAGTGCTCATCACAGGCTGGCCGGGCTCTCTCCATTGCAGTGATGGGGTCGACCATCTTATGAGGTCCAGGTGAGGGGACTATACTCTTTCCCTGGTCTGCTATGGCTGGTACGTTCTCGGGTATGGTTTTCTTGACAAAAATTTAACACTGCATGTGCTCCCGCATTCTCAATTCACCACAGTAAATGTAGCCGGTGGCTCCCTCTCCACTCCAAGCCTAAGTCACCTGTCAGTCAGGTGGCCCCATTCACAACTCCATCCCAGTGCACGGTCATCCTCCATCTTCAACATAGACTCAAAGATGAATTGTAAAGTGGAGAATAGATACAGTGTAGATGAAGCCAGTCTCATATGATATGCAGTAACTTAAAAGGCTCAATCTAACCACAAAAATTTACTTGTTTTCCTCTCCACCATTTATTTTGATGATGTTTGCTTTCTGGACCAAGGCTAAGGTGGTTTTTAAGTCCAGCAAGTAGGAAGAAAAATGTAGTTGAATGAATTTGTGAGCTGTTTTCTGAAGCCTTGCTTTACTTGGTTTGTGATGGTAATATTGAGCTCTTACTACCAGATTTTAAAACTCTAAAATTCTAAGATGTTTTTAGGTTTATTTCATGTGTATGAGTGTTTGCCTACATGCATGTTTATATACCAAGTGCATGCCTGATGCCTGGGAAGATCAGAGGGACATGTCAGATCCTCTGGAGTTACAGGCAGCTGTGAATCATTATATGGGTGCTGGGAATCTAACCCAGAACCTCTGAAAAAGCAGCCAGAGCTCTGAACTGCTGAGCCATATCCCCAGCCCCTAAGAGAATCTAAATTTTAGGCCACATTACTTTTGTTCCTTTCATAGCTTTTCCGTATGAAATTTAACAAGTCACTTAAACCCTCTGAGTCTACTTCCATATCTGTAAGACACCACGTTTATGGTAGCTTTTAATTCTAATGTTTCGTGACTCAACTAGTTAAAAATATCAATGAGCTGTAATATTATATCTGCTAGAAGCTGCAAAAAGTTCAATAAACATGCTTCTACCTTACTCAAGAAATAGCATTTGTAGTAGGAACTGACATAGACAAAGCCCTTTCATCAATGCAGCAGGCATGATTGTGGGTGTCAGGTACAAGGTTCAGACTTCTCCAAGAGTTATTTCTCTTGGATCCTCACAAGGATATATGTTATAGCAGTAGCTGCACTTTTTGAGATGAGGCCTGAGGTTTATGAGCTTACAGAAAGTTATCAGGAGACAATTCTCCATGGTTCTTTCCTCCTCCCCATTCCACCCCTTCTCTCGTCAGCACATTTCACAGAGGCACTGCTCTGTCAAGGATGTTGGCACAGCGAATGCCCTTTGAAGGTAGAGAAGTGTCTCCTTGCTAGTGAAAAGCAGAATGACTTGCTATCCAGCATAATAAAGATGATTTCTCTCTCCGGATGGGGATAGTTTTGGTGCCTTGCGTTTGAGCATCCTCCTGCAGAGCAATGCCTTTCGTATGCAGTTGTAAGCGTTGGAGGCTGGCACAAATGCTGATGCCTTGGCTATTTTACTTCCCGTTACTATCAAAGTAGTTTGTCCCTGATCCAGGAGTCTTGTAGCTCTTGCCAGCATGCATGAGACTACGGCCCACTAACTCGTTACCTTGCAGGTAGACAGAATCCGATTCCTTAATAATCAACAAGGTCACCCAGATGGTAGGTGGTGGGGCTACATTTCTTATTTAATTCAGTCTGCTTGAGGCTGGAGTCTACCTTTTCATTTCTCACGGGCTCTGCCTCTCGGAGAAATATGTATCTCTCAGCTTGATAGTGTGATAGCTAGCTGCAGCATGATGGGACAGGTGCTGAGAGAAGGGGATTCCATGTGGCTCCGAGAGGCTGCAGAAGCACAAGGAGGTTCTGGCAGAAGGAAAGTAAGCAATTTCTAGTGAGAGCCAGCCCTCGAGTGATCTGCTGATGGATCAAAACCATCCTAAAGGAAGAGCTGACCCTGATAGATATGACACTGGTTATAGAGGCCAGAACGCAATCTTTATGAAGAAAAAGAACCCAGCTTTACAAGAGGTGACCAGCAGGCCCAGCCCTCAACCCTGGGTGAGAATTTAAGGGTCAGATCACACTTCTGTGATACCCACACTTCTGTGGGTAACAGAGAAACCAGAAGAGAAATGAGGGGCCATTGTTGATGCGCTAAATGGGGGGACACAAGGCTGTAGGGATGTGGAAATGGTTTTAAGTAGGGGGCTGTCAAAGCAGAGCCCAAGGGTAAGAATCCTGCGGTGTAGGAAGTGGGTCAGGCACTGAGAGCAGAACTTTGCTGTGTGTACCCTAGGGCTGGAGAGCTTGCAAGCAGCCCAAGGTCCACTGCCAAATAATGGCAAATCTCTTCATTCACATTTGTTTCTGAAAGAAAGAAAGAGAAAGAAAGAAAGAAAGAAAGAAAGAAAGAAAGAAAGAAAGAAAGAAAG